ATTAAGCTTGAATTGGGGTGTGATTCATGATTTTGATGTTGTTTGATGTGATTTGAGGCCTCGAACAGGTCCGTGTTAAGTTATGGGACTGGTTTGGGTGATTGGACGGGGTCCCGGAGGCCTCCGATGTGTTTCGGGGTGGTTTCAGATCAAATTTGGATAAAAAGTCGTTGTTGATTGCTGGTATCTGGTTTCTTTCTTCGCGTGCCGCGTTCGCAAAGAGGAAAGTGGGAGGCTGCTGGATTTGGCCTTCGCGAACGCGTAGAAGGAAAGAGGGGAGCAGGGCGTGAGGCCATTGGCCTACGTGAATGCGATGCCTGTAACGCGAACGTGTAGGGCCCCAGGAGCTGGCCTTCGCGAACACGAGTGTCGGGTCGCGAACACGATGAAGACATTTGGGGCTGAAGCAAGTTGTGCTTCGCGAACGCAAGGGCGTTTCCGCGTTCGTGAAGAAGGGCGGTGCTGGGTACTGAGTTGTTTTAAGACGGGATTTGGCCCATTTCTTTCATTTTTCTCTTGGCTTGGGCGATTCTTGGAGGATTTCAAGAGGGGGTTTCATCATTCAATGACAAGGAAAGTTATCCCCACTTATTAGGAGTTAAATACATTGATTATGTATGGATTTTAACATGAAAATTAGTGAAAATTTGGGGTTTTGAGAAAGACCTAGAAATTTGATATTCTTGAATTTGACCACGATTTTGGACATGAAATTGAGAGTAAATTATATACTTGGGTTCGTGAGATTATGGGTAAACTTTATCTTCAAAAAAATTTGGAATCTGGGGACGTGGGCCCGAGGGAAACTTTGTCCACTTTTCGATCGGGGTTAGAAATTGTTATAAATTGGATTATAATAAGTAATTGAACATATATTAATAGTTTTGCATAATTATTGACTAGTTTTGGAGCATTTTTGCATCGAATTAAGTCTTCAGAAGGGCGTGGAATGCCGGTATGGAACTTCGGAGCGAGATGAGTCTCCTTTCTAACCTTGTAAGTGGGAATTGTCCCCATAGGTGAATTAATTGGATTTGTGCGTCTATTTGTGGGGGCTACGTACACACGAGGTGACGAAAGTCAGTGCGTAGCTACTATTATATTTAAGTTCGGGTAGTCTAGGACCCAAAAACATGCTATACTTGGAATATTTGTAATCTTATTGACAGTTTGAATTACTTAAATCACATCGAATTAGTAAATGAATTTCTAAAAAGATTAAACTTCATTTTCAAAAATTGTTAAAAGAAAATTGGCTTTTCTGTGTCGACTTATTGATTGACTGTCTGTGTTTGTTAAATTTCGGAATGGGACGAATGCCTCGGTAGATTAAATAAATGCATTTACGGTTCGCGCCATTCGACCGTCTCGCAGTGCGCGGTTTAAATATTTGTTGGATCGGGCCGTACGACCTCCGCATGATTTGCGCATGCTTGTATTGCTTGCCTTGAAATTTATAGATATTGATATTTGCTCTCCTTGGCTTGAGATAAATTGATAAATAATAGATTATGAAATTGGAGACTTCTTAATATAAAAAAGGAATGTTTAATTGTTTTTTGAACTACTTGAATTTGTTGTTGTTTTTTAATAAGTCCATGAATATTCGCATTATTAATAAATTACTATTGGACCACTAATAATTATGGAAGTCGACCTCTCGTCTCTACTTCTTCGAGATTAGACGGGATACTCACTGAGTACATATTTTTTTGTACTCATACTACACTTGATGTGCATTTTTGTTGCAGAGGTTCATGTGTGGTTAGTGGCATAGTGACATGGTTGATACAGGGACTTAGGTGAGTTGCATCTTGCGAGATGATCCGCAGCCAACAGAGTCTCCCTCAGAGTACTGTACTGTATTATTTCATTCCTATCCAATTGTATTCCGAACAGTTATTGTATTTTATTTCATTCCCTAATAAATACTTATGCACTTGTGACACCAGGTTCTGGGATGATTATGGGGTATTGTATTAATTCCAAATATTTTTATTAAATTTTGAAACGGTTAGCTTTTACTATTAAAATTTAAGGAAAAATCATAGTTTTCAACATTGTTAAAACAAGGCCTAAATTAAGTATTTATGATTGGCTTGCTTGACATCGATGTCCGGCGCCATCATGACCCTTAGTGGATTTTGGGTCGTGGTACATTCTCAAATAAAAATGTACTCCAAGTGGGATTCAAACCTTCCAATTCCTACCTCATTTAGCAATTTAGGTTTTCAATAAAAATATCTCACCAGATTTAATCATCATGAATCACCAATTCCTTTAATGTCATGTTCTTTTAGATTGTGAATAAACTATATAGATCGCTTAATCATATAACATTCATGGTGCTATCTTGTGGTCATATGTGAAGTGGTTCAAGCTTTGTTCCAAATTTGATCAGAAGATATAACAATAATTCACATGGGGAATCAGGAATATAGATACCCTTAGTATTTTTATGAATAGAGTCATTTATGGAAGTTGTGTATTTTCTCGTTTTGTTCATGTCGTATAGATCATGACAAAATAAAAGAAGGAATAACCTTAATATACCTTTTAATGTCAACTTCCTACTTGTATATGTGAACAATCTCCTCAATTTTGAGAAAACTGATATAGGAAATACACATCTACGTTCACGGTTTGTTCTAATGCAAGGAGCGTTTCTAATCTCAAGCAAATGTGTCAGCCTGAAGCACAAGACATGTCTACTCTTTCCTCTTGAACCAGAATACATCTCCTAGCTTATTTCTAAACACTGCTACAACATGCAAAAGAGCAAGAAGAAATTTTTTGAATCGAAAATTAAACAAGTCGCTTCACCTAATGCAACATCTGTGCAGAGGGTATAAGACTGGAGGAGAGGGCACAAGAATAACTGTAGGGTCAAACAACCATTGGAGCACTGGTAAAACATTACTTGAAAGTTCGATCTTTTCAAAGAACAAAATTCTTCTATCGTACATAGCATTGTTTATTTGTGCAACTTCTCCCATTTATATACTCTCATATTTGTTTTTTTTCCTTCTCTCTATTATTTGTTGTAAATAAATATATATCTATATATGTCATAATGTGTCCATCCAAAAAAGGGAATGAGTGGATAGTGGAGTCCACCTCACTTTCCACTATTTTGAGGTATTGTGACATGTGGCATAGATGTCACATATTAGTCACACATTATTTTTGGAATGGGGGGAGGGGGTTGCCTAACCTTGTATGCCTTATCTAGTCTTTTAATTAATCTCTCATTCTATGCAAGAATGAAAATAGTTCCAGATCTTCCTTTATCAAATAATTGATTTTATTTTTGTTTTTCTTTGGTTATTCAAGGAAATGAACATCATTTTAAGCTATGCCGAACAGTTAATAACTCCACACAGAATTACGAAGTTAAATTTCACTAGTAGTAGTATCTTAATGTGTTATCACTCCATTTTAAATTACTCGTCCAACTTTTCTCATTCGTTTAAAAAAATTACCAATTCAAACCACATATGTAATAATTACATTACCTTAATGTTGATATGATGTTTTTTCAAAATAATTATCCTATAATTTCCAGTTAACATTTACTAGAACTAATTAAACACTTTTCATACTCTATTTACTACCTTCGCTCAAAATGAAAAGTCTAAATTTATTTAGAATAAAGGTTGAAACCGTAAATTGTCATGTGAAACCATATAAAATCAATACATACATTATTATTTATTAAAACATACAAGTAAAAAAAATATGCACATATTTTCTCAACTTCTAATTTTCATAATCTCCTATAAAGAGTATAAATTTTCATATGTTTAATTCTTAAAATGGTAAAAAGATAACCTTTTTTTTTTGTGAAAAAAAACAATAATTTATATCTTTACAGTAAAGAAAATCTCATAAGCTTTCTCATATTATGTGTATAATTTAAAATATATTTGAAAGTAGTAATATTAATAACTATATAAAATTATATTTTTCAAACTTTTTACAAAAATGTTCCACCCAAAATACCATATCCATAGTATATAACGGTATCAAGGTTATTAAACTTATGGGGTCTTATAATAATATAGTTACAATTCCTCTATAATCTCATGAATGGTCTTAATTCCTTGAAATTCATATGGATTATTACGACTTATAATAATGTACGGGATTTAACATCCTTCCCCCCTTAAGAACATTCGTCCTCGAATGTTAACTCTTAAATATTCACAAAATTTTCACTAGGGTCTCCTCTGTAAATTAAACTAAAACCCAAAGTATAACCGAAGTCTCGACTATTCAAAACCTTTCGTACTTGAGTATCTCGTATCTTTTTCACCTTACCTTACTTACTTTTCAATTTCGCATTGTATCTTCTATTTTTTTCATAACTCCCTTCCATATTACGCCCTAAAGCTCTATTGTTATACGATACAAGATCTGGAGAAAGCTTCATACTGACTTCTTACGACTCAGCTCTATGGCATGATCTGAAAACAAATTAAGGGAAACATTTCCTAAATGCCCTATAGCCTCTCAATTATAAATATGGCGCGCAACACACCCATAAGTGAGACTCTACTAGGCACGACTTTGTAGACTTCCCTAGGACACGACCCGCTCTGATACTACTTTGTCACGCCCCGAACCTGGGGAGGTGTGGCTGGCACTCGGTGCCGTAGTGGCCCGAGCGAAACTCATTTATTCCTTTTTATAACTATCATGGGCCAACATGGCCACAACTCGTAATGTAAAATTGTAAGTGGACAAATGTTATATCAATGAACCATCGTTCATAAAACATGAATACATATGGGTTGTCAAGGCCTCTAACATACTGTATATAATAACCATGTGTCTACAAAGCCTCTAAGACTATTTGACATAAAATGGGACAGGGTGTCGGCCTACCCATAAGTTTATAGCAAAACTCTGACATGTGACTCATAGACTCGGCTGCACTCCGAATGAGATGGAGTCTTACCGATCCTTCACTGAATGCCAATCTCATCTTTGATGAAGGCTCGTCAAACTGATTATCTATACCTGCAAGCATGAATGCAGCTTCCCCAACAAAAGGACGTCAGTAAGAGTAATGTACTGAGTATGTAAGACATGTAAATAAGTAAATACAAGACATGGAAGAAAACGTGGAGTAAATGACTCAGCCTGTAAATCTGGATGGTTATGTAAATCAAAATTAGGAAATATCTTTAATGTCATGCATATGCATATAAATGTCATGTAATGCATAGGTCTGTATGTACATAACATCATCAAGCCTCTAAGGGCATCCCTATCATATCATTTCAGCCACTGTAGGCAACATCATCATCGTATACCAACTGATCATGTGGTGGTGCGTACATAACGCCATAACCTTTTTCTCATATCCCATATACATATATTTATATATATATATACGCGTATATAA